AACATTCAATGTTATGAGCTGGGATTTACGAAGGTGGGAAATGCTTCATTATAGTATCACATGTATTAAATATTTTCTCTATTTAAATGATTATTATTTAAGAACTTTAAGAAGGTATAGGGCATTAAAATGAAGAACAAACCATTAGTGGGCAAATACAACGTTAAGAGCAAATACTTTATTCCCACCCTATCCTTGAAAACCAAATTTATATAAAGAAAAATTGTATTTTGAGCACTAATATAACTTTGTGAGTACTGAATTTCCATCCTATTTCATAGATTTGAAATAGGAAGACAAATTAGAACATAGCAGTGTTACACATGACATTATTTAGACAAACATATCTTGTCAGAATTATCCAAGTAGCACCATTTGCAACTCCATGAATGTTCAGAAGTCAGATTCTAGCTTATGCTTTAATAACCAGCATGACACATTTTAAAAGACTATTTAAATTAGAATTGCTTCCTTATGCTGCAATTATTTATAAAGGGTCTCATTCCTAAAAGAAAAAAAAAAAAGCTTAGAAGCATGAAGTTATTCAAATCACTAGATATTGTCAGAGAAATATATACTTGCCCTCCAGCCATTCAATTGTAATCTATATCATAAAAAATGTAAACACAATAGAGTAAAAAATATTGCAAGGGATAATGAAAAATCTGTATCTGATGATGAAAATATATTGCAAATATATTACTTCTATTTTTCTCTTAGGGAAAGGAAGCTATTTCTCATTAGCAAAATAATAAATGATTAAAATTCTGGTAAGATTTGCATATACATCTTTACCAAATTTTCCTACTTTTTCAGGCAAGAAACAATACAATTGCACATTAAGATTTACTGTTTTGAGCTGATATATTGTAACATTGTAGAAAAATCTTAGGGTCAACTTTTGGGAAGGAAAGTTCTGATACATCAACTGAACGACTCATTGCTAGCCATTGCATTATTCTTGACACGGTGGATGTACAGATGACATTTTAAAATCAAATGTAGAGCTATAGCACCTACATTTGTTCTTCTTTGTCCATAGTAGTAGTGGGAGAAACTGCCTAGTTTCTTGCCACATCTATTTCTCTTCTTCACAGGTTCAAAACCAGTACTAATTTGACACTGTCTTTATAGACATAGGCTCATGTCACATGGGACAAACAACAGACTATAAAAAAAATTAATGTGTATTTCTTTTAGGGTTGGCTCATGACAAATTCTTATGAGCAATAGTCATTTTCTCTCTATTGATTAAATGCCTAAGATGTTCTGGATACAAGGTGACATTTTGGGACAGCAACAGAATAAAAAAGTAATCTACTATAAAAGCCAGCAAGATGTGAGAGGTTACTAGTCACAGTAGTTAATGCTGTTCACTTAGTGCATTGGTTTGTCTACAAATTCATAGCTGTTACTGAGTATTTCATGTATTTGGCTTTAATGTTCCCTGACCCATTGAGGGACTTACTTCGATCAGTGATGATTGTTCTAGCTTCTTGATTGCTGGTTTTGTTTTTCAAATTCTGGGCAGCAGTAATGAGTTCTTCCAACTGGGGGCGTCTCTGCTCCAAATCTTGTAGTGTTGCCTGAAAGAAGAAAAATATCTCTTGCATTGGGAGTTCTCCAGCATTGTATATTCCTTTTTTTACACCATAAAGGAAAAGGACTATTTTCAAATCAGCTGAAACATTTCTAGAAATAAAAAGACGTAACAGGATATGAATCTCCAGTTTGTGAGGCTTTATAGAAAGGAACTGAATATGACATGTGTTCCATTCTTAGATACAAGATGATTTCACATGAAAATTGTAGCAGAGACTTGCCTCTCTACCTATGAACTAAGATGTAGTAATTTGGATTTGTGTAAATAAACTTCTAAAAATGTAATTTGACTCATCACAGTGTATTTGAAAAGGGTTAGTTATATTTTTGTCTTGTTTTGGGTAATATTTTAGAGACAGGAAAATCTCATATATCATTTAAGGTATAGTATTTAATGTCTTTGTAAATAAAATTCATTACATATAAAATGAGCAGTTGATATAGATGAACTGCAGCAAGTTTCCTTAAAGTTGCCTATCCATGAAAACCACTAAACTTCTTTGATTCATTTCAGACTTTATGAATTAATAAATAGCTGGTAATACTCATTTTTAATAAATTCTCCACTTCATCATCTGATTATAAATTTTTGAATAGCATCACTTAAACTCTAGCCCTTAGAATCTTCCATTATATAAATATTTTGGTGTATAAGTAGTGTATGTGGTGTATGTACACATGTGTTGGCAGATGCAGGCACCTATCTAAGGCACGTGGAGGTCATAGTGTTCAGGTGTCTTCCTTTTTTACTTTCTGCCTTGGGATTTTAAGACAGGGTCTTTCTGAGAATGTATAGCTCACAATTTTCTGATATGCTGGCAACTAGCAAGTCTCAGTGGGTCTCTTTCCTATATTCACTGAAACTGGAATCCTAGAAACAGAAATGCAAAATCCAATCTTCATTGCTTTGCAGTAAGCACTCTTAACCATTGAGCCATCTTGCCAATCCTCATATAAAGAATTTTAACATTTAGTGACTTTTGGGAAACCATTTACAATAATAAACTTAACATTAAAAACATTTTAAGTATAAATGTTAATTAGTAATCACGTCCTTTTGTCTTCAAAAATCAATATCTATTTGCCAACTTAGTCTCTATAGTCAATGGCCAAAATCTTAGAAATATGAACAAAATATTTGAAAAAATATTGTTCTGGTTACAAAACTTAATTTTACTTTAACTGGGTGAAATAAACAATAATTTTTATTTATTAACAAGCACCCTGACAGATGCTGTGCATTCCCTTGTTAGTTTTTGTTTATTGTTTTTTACCTTAGGTTCTTAGACTATCTTTTCTTGGGTTCTTGGTCATCCTAGCAATGTCCGGTGTAACTTCCCGGTCATGAAGTGGGCTTAACTCAAATGAGACATTGCTTTAATATTTACACAAGTTTTGTACCCCCATTACACTATTATATTTTGCAGTCAGGATCAGAGGATTTGTGGCTGCATTGGGATTTATGTTCAAAGTACCTTCTTGTCTGTACCAAAGACACTTGGTCATTCAGGATTGTTTTAGCTAACCTGTTTTTTCGGTGTGTGTGTGTGTGTGTGTGTGTGTGTGTGTGTGTGTTTCCATATGAACCTGAAAATTAACCTTTAAAGGTCCGCAAAAAATTGAAGATCTGTTGGAATTTAGTGGGTTTGCCTTGAATCTGTAGATTCTTTTGGCAAGGGGGGCATTTCTACCATATTAATGCTGCCTACCCATGAGCAGGAGAGATCTTTCTATCTTCTCATGTCTTCTTCAGTTTCTTTCTTCAAAGACTTGAAGTTCTTGCTACACAGGTCTTTTCCTTTTCTTGGTTAAAGTTACCACAAGATATTATATATTATTTGAGGCCATTGTGAAAGGTGCTGCGTTCCTATTTCTTTTCTCTGTTCATTTGTCATTTGTATCAATGAGAGCTGATTCTTGTGAGTTAATTTTGTATCCCACTACTTTGCTTCAAGTGCCTATGAGCTGTAAGAATTTCCTGTAAGGACCACTTATGTGTCCTATCATATCATTTGCAAATAAAGATACTTTACTTCTTCTTTTCCAATAAAAGGGGAGGTCTGTTGTGAGCCTACTTGTTCCCCTGGTCAGAGTGACCTGTGAGCTCCCAGGAAGTATCTGCTTGATTTGGGAACTGGTATAAAGCAATGAGTGGGGGAAGGGATATTAGGAGGAAATATTTGCATGATTCACTGGAGAGATGGGCAGGGGAAGAATGAAGGCCTCAGAAAATCGTGTGCTATGGAAGACTTGGGGTTGAGACTGGAGGATTGGATTTGGAGAAGCAGAAGAAGTAAAGATCTACAGTTAGCCTACCTGCTTCCCTGGCCGGAATGCATCTTTTATTTTTGTTCTCTTAATAACTACATCAGAACTTGTCAGACTTTAAATGTTAAGTTCATAAAAGTGAAAAGATAAAATTTGATAGCTAATAATACTTCTGAACCTCATTTACCTCTTTATGCCCTTTGATACCAGATAATTTTCTAGTGATTTTGATTTTGGAAAGGGCAACTCTGGATCATTTATTTAGCATTTTCTTTGTGAACAGCGTTCAGATTTAATCTCAGTGGTTTCTTGTAATATTAAAATAGTAAGAAAAACTTATTCAAACACTGTACATTTATTTAGAGAATATTTCTGTGGTTTTTTTTTTTTTTGAAAAAATCAGAGTGGCTCGTTTTTAAAAGATCTTCTGCATTTGTAAGTTGTGATTGCTCAGAAGAAAAATCCAATTTTCAGGTTTCTAACTTTTATGGTTTCTTTATATAAAAGTGTGTTTGAAATATGGAACAAATTGCCAAAGACAGCTATTGAAGTAAGTAGCATAAGTAAGTTGGACAGTACTGAACAAAATTTAAGGCAGAGACAACAACTGCAGATAGATTTTGTAAAATAAGACATATTCCAGGGTTAGAATGCTAAAAGTTAATCATCTGGAAAACAGCAAGTTGAAAAGTTGCTTTAGTAAGTTCTCTTCTCAACTGCAGAATTATGGTCAATAGATCATATAGTTTTAAAATGTTGCCCCAAAACTAGAGATAATACCAAACACTCACCTCGAGTTTGATAACTAAACAAATACATTCAGATAAAAAGATATAAATTTCTCCATTGTTTACTTCTTCATTTATAATATTACAGGTTTTTTTTCCAATTCTAGATCTTTTAGGGGATATGGGTGTGGCAGCGAACAAATTTACCTGTTACGGTTATGTTGTTAGTGAAAGTTATTTTTAACGATTGAAAAGATTTTGATAAGAAGTAACTATCGGATTATCTTTTTTGATTTCTTATTAGTTAACTCTTAAATGTTAATAGGACTCTTTGCTTTTGACTTACAGATATATTACTAGATACTTGCTCTACTCTTATTTACTTTGAGGACGTTTACATTTCTTTAAACATAAAAGTGTGTTGTAAAAGTAACTCCATCAACTTGTACCTGAATTTTCCCAGACTCTAAATTAAATTTGACCCCAAAGAACAGCTTTCACTGCTGAAATTAGCAAGCATGTCAATTTAGGCTTAAAACAACCCATTTCCCCTCTAATGAACAGAATTCATCTCAGGCTATTGTGAAACCTGTTCTCTAGTTGGGTGCGTCTCTAATTCTGCTGACAGGCACATGCTTTATGAGCACCCTGGAAGATTATTAATCACATCCTTTAAAGAAGACTCATAAAAACAGAAAGACCTTCACAACTGTATTATAGCTGTGTATTCCTGAGAAAAACCACAAATCTTTATCACATCCATTAAAATATTTTTTCCTATATGGTAGAACAAGAGCATTCTTTTTCTTTGTAGAAAAAAGGGAAGAATTTGAATAATGAGGCCATTCAAGTATTTTTCATTAATACACTATAAAAATAACAACCAAAGGACATTTCAAGAAACATAACACTATAATATAATGTGAATGAAGGTTATTTTTAAATTGATTTCACTTTATGCATATATTATTTATTTGTTTTTATAATTACTTTAACTAGCAACTTAAATGAAAATGAATTCCACAACTTGTCAAATGCAAGGAGTTTTATTTGTCTCCTTTAGAGCTAACCAAGTGTCAGAAAACACTTGACTAAATCATTTTTTGAAGTACCTAAATCCTAATTCTCTCCTCCAAATTCTATTCTGTGCCCTCACCTGCTGTTCTTAGCAGATGCTACCCTCTCAATTACATTGCGACTATAATCTAAAGCCTCAGATTAACTCAGGGTGCCACTGTCTCTCACCTTTCTCATTGTAACTTTACTCATGCCAAAGAAATAGAATGCTAAAGACTCCTATCTATTTCTCTGCTATGACACAAGGTATTTACTGAATATTTAAATGAACAAAACTAAAACCATTACATGCTTAACTGTACTTAAGCATTGTAATTTATTGTGTCTACATGGAGCCTACCATTCTACAAGAAACAACACACAGGAAAAGGAAGGAACTGATGCTATTTCTAAGAAGACCTAAGGCAGCTATCAGACTTAACTACAAGCAGCTTACCCCTTGGAGATGAAAATCCATCATGGATTCCACTAGCTGAGCAAAGGTGAAGGGAAAAAATAACTTCAAATACAAAGTGAATCAGAAGTCTTTAATCCTATGAAATCCCCCCAGGGTTGAGGGAAGTGGTTATAAATAGCAATCCTATAAAAAAGGAAGTTAAACACCGAAACCATATATACTATAAAGTAGGTCATTTTAGTCTCTTAGAAAAAAAATTATCATCACACTCCTTTAAAGAGGAATTATACGTAAATAATACCAAGATAGAAAAAATCTAGACTGAATAGAATATTTATTTCTTATATATCTAAGGGAAGGTCTTAACCGAGTTTTTCTATTAATAAGCATTCTTCCTATAGTTTCAATTACCACAAGTGCTGCCATTTTCAAGAAACAAACACGAATTAAGCTTAACTATAATGGTAAAGACCTTTACATATTATAACTTTAAAAATATACATAAAGACTGTAG